GGATTGTTAAAATACAACTCAATATTGTTTTGAATGTTTAAATACTAAAGATTCACCACATTCACAACATTTCAATGATTGTATTAGATTCACAAAAATGATCTAATTTATGAAAGATTTGATACAAGTTAATAATCAATTAAGGATATAATTCAAAGATGTCTATATACAATTATAGAACAATGTTGCAAAGATTTAAAAACAATTGGATCAAGAAATTAGTATATTAGAAAATATGACTCAACAGCTTTAAAACAAAGAGTATTTGGCTTTGAAATCATAAATACTTATAATAAAACAGTTGTATTCGAAGGAAAAAGAAAATTGCAAATGTATTTTTTTTATTCATATATATTAATAATAGAATAACAAATAATACAATTCAATAATATTCTTGATACTTTAAAGAAAATGTTAGCAGACTAAATTAAAGTGGAAGAATAAATAGATTGTGGTTGTCAAAAGGATACTAAAATCGATTAATAGAGTGGAGATCAAGAAAACTAGTTGAATTTTGAAGAGGCTGAAAGATTATTAAATGAAGGTATATTAATTTGATGTATAATAGGATTGGCAACTGAGGTTACAATAACTTGTAATTTTGCTTATTATATAATAAACTATATTCTTTAAAGAGATAGCCAGAATTCTTTGATTGAATCAATAACCAATAATTTATTTGGAGAACTACCTCAAATGATTCCATACCATGAAAACCTGAAGCTCATGAGGGCTATCTCCATTTTCAACAATGAATGCCATACATCTCACTAAATTCAATTATTAATTAATATTTTGCAATTTATGGAAGTGCCCATGCCCTATCTTTTTGAAGAAAGTAAAGAATCCTACCTTGATAATATCCAAAAGAACTTAATAACAAATTGTGGAAATTCCTTTCTGAATAATAACGAAAGGTCTTGCTAATTACAAACTTAAGTCCATTTGGTCTAAACTTGTACTCTCTTAATGAGCTCTGATATTATCATTTGTTAATTTTCCTATAACACTAATTGAACCTAACATTTGGCAGCATCACTATATCTAAAATATTAATAATTGAATCCTTCTCCCAATTTTTGAATGTGAAAATAAATTTTATCTCGTTCATATGATTAATATCATACTTATTACAGAACATATGCTAAGTTGAGTTTTAAAGTACAACATCTCTTCAACTACTAAAACTATTTACGCTTAAACATGCATTAGATATTATTAAAGCATGCCTTTAAATTATTATAAACTCTGTAAATTTAAAGCTGAAATCAAATTTCAACCAGCTTTAAGCCATTTTAGTGACCAATCTGTTTAGATTGATGAATATTTAGAGGACTTAAAGAAATATTCTTTGAAGAAATAGAACAAACAAAGGGAAAATTAAGAAAAGTTGAAATTTAAAGATTAGGTTATGGAAAACCTTGAAATCTTGCTGAGCCTAGATTACTGGAGAGGATAACGATTTGGAGAATAAAGGCTACCAAAGTAGAATATACGAGATCAAGAAACTCAAATCTGTGGCTTTGATATTGAAACTTGCTTTTCTAAAAAACTTCATTTTAACAAATTTTTTCCATTAAAAAAAGTTTTATTAGAACAACCAGATAATATCAATAGGGACATTAGGATTAGTCAATTTTCATTTGCTTCCTTTGTACAATTTCAGAAATGCCAACTCTTTTGGCAGAAAAAAAATCAAACTTTCTATTGTGTAGAACAATAGAAGACAAAAAAATAATATTCTTAAGTATAATTTACATTCATAAATTTCATAGATGATTATCTAGAATAAATTGAGATTTGAAACAAGATTTACAGTTCATTTGATTTTATTGAGTAGAATTCTCAACTGAAGAGAACTAAAACCTTTTCAAAAATTCTTTTAAAATTACTATGATGAACATTTACTTCAATCTCTCCAACCTAAACTTCTATTTAGGAAAAGCAGCTCTTACAAATATCAATAAAATCAAATGATAAACGAAATAGCATTCTTTATATTTGAGAAGGCATTTAGGTTGTGTTTAAAACTATTTTATAATTGTTGGAAAGAACCAATAGATGTCTAAATGTCGAGGCTTTCCGGAAAACCAGGAATAGGTTAAATAGAATATATGGTTGGCTTAATAGTATTTAGATTGAATTTAACATATGAAAGTAGTAACACATTGTGTAAAGAGTAAATTATAAGTCTACAGTATGATTAAATTGCTTTACTTACCTGATCGTGGAATAAAAATACTTGTTAATGTTAGAAAACAATAAGGAAGATGTTACTACTAATATGAAAATTAAATTCTCTTATTATCAATGTTGAACTAGTATAGAAAATCGTAGACTTAGAAAGTTAAACCAACATACAATATAGTTAATGCTTGATCAGAGTAAAGAATGGTATTATTATATGGCTTGATACTTGAGTAAGTCTACTTTTAGATCGTGTTTCAATGGGTGAACCTTTAAGTCATGAATACTGATGATTTATTAAATGCTAAAATTATTTATAAGTTTCTTATTACCTCTAATTTAGTTGAAGTTCAAATCAAATAACTTGGTTTATTTCATAATTTTTACTAAAAATATTTATTCTAAGAATCTGAAATATTACAAGCTACACCATAAACTAAAGTGAATAAGGATTAAGTCTTTGCAAATAAGATAACCTAATTTTGTTTTATTTGAGTATTGACAATTAAAATTTTGAATAAGGCTATTCTAGTTTTTGTAATCTACTTTGTTCTTTTAACGCAATTTACAACCTGGTAACTTAAGTTTTGAATTCCTTACTAATATTTTTTTTATATTTTCATTAATTGGCATTTAATATAAATTATTTTAAGCTACCTCCTTACTGAAAATTTTTATAGGGCAGTCATTAACTCTGCCTGCTATCTAATCATATACTTTAGTTAATCGCAAATTCTTTATTCAAATATCGAATTTTTTTGGCAATATAGGCTTCAAATTAAATATTTGAGATTACAATAACTTGTAATTTTGCTTATTATATAATAAACTATATTCTTTAAATCTAAAATATTAATAATTGAATCCTTCTCCCAATTTTTGAGTGTGAAAATAAATTTTATCTCGTTCATATGATTAATATCATTCTTATTACAGAACATATGCCAAGTTGAGTTTTAAAGTACAACATCTCTTTAAACTACTAAATCCAATCTTCAGATTCAATAAGAGAACTTAAATCGCATACTATTAATGTGTTATATGAAAGATTTTAACAATGTTGTCAATAATCTTGTCAAATTACCTTATCTATATTTAATGTTAAATCTTACTGGAATTTCCCTTGATTGAGGATCTTATTCACTAAAATCTCTTGATGATTAAATCCTATATATGCACTATGATAAAAAATTAAATAAGTCTCTACCTAATAAATAGGCTGCAATCAATCCTTTACCATATTTAAAGCAAATAATTAATATAGACTCTCTTTCAAAATCCTTATAAATTGCATTTCAAGAACTTGAAAGACTATATAATTTCTTTATTTACCGATTTAATACTCCTTGTTCTTTTATTTGTAAAAAATGATTCAAATTTACCATGATATGTTAATTGAAGCTAAATCAAGGTAATGTCTATGCTCAATTTTATAGTTCCAAAGTGCAATTAAAATATCGTCCTCCTCTTCTCACTTTTTAAGAACTTATTGAACCTTTGACTTGATAGTACATAATTTTTTCGCATCCACCATTACATTTCAATGAGACTTTTCAATTTACGAGTTAAAACATATTCAGTTCACAAATCAATAAAATTGTTCTACTCATAAATCTGATGTTTGAAGATCAATTGAAAATGTATTCCTCTTTCATTAATAATGTTAGGGTTGACATTCTGAATATTATTTCCTCTGCATCAATATTATTAAAAGTGTGAAGATTTTTGAGGAAGATTTCTACTTTAGTTATCTAAAAAACGTGGATTTAAATATATTTTAATTAATTGTGGTATCTTATGATTATACCATATATGATTCTTAATTTTTCAGTCTATTTAAATGCTTGTTTCAATGTCTTTAAATACGATATCCTTAATCTAAAATTAATAATTAATTTTGACATGAATTTCATATTTGTAGATTTATCTCTTCTCATTTTTTAAATAATTTACAATCTAATAGCTTACGCAACCATCGCTTCTCTTAACTTCTAAGATTGTTCGAATACACCTATTTTTTAGTATTTGCTTAACAGAAATTATAGAATGTTGGCTGATTTCATCTAAAAAAATGAATACCTATCATTTAGGCTATCTTAAATCTTTATCTATTTTTGTCAGCACTTTCGATCATTCAATAGATTTAATTGACATTTAATTATATTAAGCACATATACTTAGTGCTTTGAAGGTTACAACAAGATTCAAGTATTAAAAATAAATTCTNTAATATGAAAATTAAATTCTCTTATTATCAATGTTGAACTAGTATAGAAAATCGTAGACTTAGAAAGTTAAACCAACATACAATATAGTTAATGCTTGATCAGAGTAAAGAATGGTATTATTATATGGCTTGATACTTGAGTAAGTCTACTTTTAGATCGTGTTTCAATGGGTGAACCTTTAAGTCATGAATACTGATGATTTATTAAATGCTAAAATTATTTATAAGTTTCTTATTACCTCTAATTTAGTTGAAGTTCAAATCAAATAACTTGGTTTATTTCATAATTTTTACTAAAAATATTTATTCTAAGAATCTGAAATATTACAAGCTACACCATAAACTAAAGTGAATAAGGATTAAGTCTTTGCAAATAAGATAACCTAATTTTGTTTTATTTGAGTATTGACAATTAAAATTTTGAATAAGGCTATTCTAGTTTTTGTAATCTACTTTGTTCTTTTAACGCAATTTACAACCTGGTAACTTAAGTTTTGAATTCCTTACTAATATTTTTTTTATATTTTCATTAATTGGCATTTAATATAAATTATTTTAAGCTACCTCCTTACTGAAAATTTTTATAGGGCAGTCATTAACTCTGCCTGCTATCTAATCATATACTCTAGTTAATCGCAAATTCTTTATTCAAATATCGAATTTTTTTGGCAATATAGGCTTCAAATTAAATATTTGAGATTACAATAACTTGTAATTTTGCTTATTATATAATAAACTATATTCTTTAAATCTAAAATATTAATAATTGAATCCTTCTCCCAATTTTTGAGTGTGAAAATAAATTTTATCTCGTTCATATGATTAATATCATTCTTATTACAGAACATATGCCAAGTTGAGTTTTAAAGTACAACATCTCTTTAAACTACTAAATCCAATCTTCAGATTCAATAAGAGAACTTAAATCGCATACTATTAATGTGTTATATGAAAGATTTTAACAATGTTGTCAATAATCTTGTCAAATTACCTTATCTATATTTAATGTTAAATCTTACTGGAATTTCCCTTGATTGAGGATCTTATTCACTAAAATCTCTTGATGATTAAATCCTATATATGCACTATGATAAAAAATTAAATAAGTCTCTACCTAATAAATAGGCTGCAATCAATCCTTTACCATATTTAAAGCAAATAATTAATATAGACTCTCTTTCAAAATCCTTATAAATTGCATTTCAAGAACTTGAAAGACTATATAATTTCTTTATTTACCGATTTAATACTCCTTGTTCTTTTATTTGTAAAAAATGATTCAAATTTACCATGATATGTTAATTGAAGCTAAATCAAGGTAATGTCTATGCTCAATTTTATAGTTCCAAAGTGCAATTAAAATATCGTCCTCCTCTTCTCTCTTTTTAAGAACTTATTGAACCTTTGCCTTGTTAGTACATAATTTTTTTCGCATCCACCATTACATTTCAATGAGACTTTTCAATTTACGAGTTAAAACAGATTCAGTTCACAAATCAATAAAATTGTTCTACTCATAAATCTGATGGTTGAAGATCAATTGAAAATGTATTCCTCTTTCATTAATAAGATAAGGGTTGAAATTCTGAATATTATTTCCTCTGCATCAAAATTATTACAAGTGTGAAGATTTTTGAGGAAGATTTCTACTTTAGTTATCTAAAAAAGGTGGATTTAAATATATTTTAATTAATTGTGCTATCTTATGATTATACCAAATATGATTCTTAATTTTTCAGTCTATTTAAATGCTTTTTCAATTTCTTTAAATACGATATCCTTAATATAAAATTAATAATTAATTTTGACATGAATTTCATATTTGTAGATTTATCTTTTCTCATTTTTTAAATAATTTACAATCTAATAGCTTACGCAACCATCGCTTCTCTTACCTTCTAAGATTGTTCGAATACTCCTATTTTTTAGTATTTGTTTAACAGAAATTATAGAAAGTTTGCTGATTTCATCTAAAAAAATAAATACCTATCATTTAGGCTATCTTAAATCTTTACCTATTTTTGTCAGCACTCTCGATCATTCAATAGATTTAATTGACATTTAATTATATTAAGCACATATACTTAGTGCTTTGAAGGTTCCAACAAGATTCAAGTATTAAAAATAAATTCTAGCGTTATATATCATCTCTATTCTGACAATACGGAACTCTGCAATATGCAGGGTTGTAACAAAGTGAAAAATTTATCCTGTATTATATTTTAATGTGAAAAAAGAATATTGAAATTTGGATCCAATAAAGGAATTTTGTTCCAAACACAGTCTTTCTCTTTTATCAACTTCAACATGAAAAGTACTAATGAGCTATAAGTATTTCAATTTAGATTATATCCAACATTAAAGAAAAGCATAGTTTCAGAAAGAGCACATTTATTTTAGACTTCTTATTGAAAAAATGAAATAAAGTTTATAGCAACATTAATGCGCTACAATTCATGCAAGATTATCTATTGATCAAAAGTGAAAAATTAATTAAATAATAAAAAAAACCTCAGGAATAAATTGCAAAGTTGTAACTAATGTTGAATATATATTACAATTTACATCATCCTAAAATCAAAGCTTATTAAAAGGAAGAGGCAGCATAAGCAGCTATATAATTGGATCATTTTCTAAGTATGTCCAAGAAGCACAATATTTGCAACATATGCGGTAGTACAGCATCAACATACAAAGTCTAGAGAGCAGGTTGTACATGCATATCTCTCTCATTTATTGGGAATTTACTAACAAATGCTTTAAGTAGTAGAATAACAAATATCAATAGATAAAAATGAACCAGGAATTAACTCGCTGTTGCAGGTAAGAAGAAAACTTATAAATTCAGAGCAGTTATTTAATGCATAGTCACAAACAAATCATACTTCTGTAAGATCACATGAAAAGATATAAAAGGATGACTACATTAATTGTTGTGTGTTAGGAGCTGCTATAGGTAATATGCTTTCAATAATATATTTTAATCACAAACTAAAGAAATGAGTATTATTAATGAATAAGCAATTTTACATGGTTTATATATATTGTAATCAAACATCGAGTGTAGCGCAAAGCAAATTTAAACGCACATAAGGATGTTTCACAAATATTTGGATTAGAAATTCCAAATATTGCCACAATTTTCAAAATATTAGTTCTATTGTATAAAAATTTAATTATTCAGCGCTATATATTAATTTGTTTCGAAAGCAAATATGGCCAAGATCATAGCAAAGATATTTGAGATTTATTTAATTTATAAATAATAATTTATTGAGAAGTTTTTGATTTTATTTGATTCATAAAGATCCTTTTGAAATTAAGTGTTTAAGTAGAGTAATATTAAAAAAGATGAGTTTTATTTAGCTTTTTGGATAGCAGGAATTCCTGTCAGTTAAATATTATTTGGCTTATAACTAACTCACTCTCAAAGACCAAGATTTTACAGTGATTTCTATCTTAGTCAAGCGGTTTGAAAGTAGCAATTCCTTTTCCAGCAGCAAAAATCCTATTAAAACTATTTCTTCATAAAGGTCATTGCCAATAGACTATATGTCGGAACTTAGATTATTTTTATATTTATAATCGTAAGGAATGCCCTTAACATTTATTTAACATTGCTTTCTTAATGAAAAGGTAACCATTTTTAACAACTCAATTGAATTTTGTCTTGAACCTTAAAACTCAGATGAAGGTCAATGAAATTTCGGAAAGCAAAATTGAATGGAATTTGTAAATCTCATTTGGATAAACAATCGGATACAATTAGAATAGGAATATAAGGATCATAATGATTAATTGGGGTAACTCTATTTATTGGGCAGTTACAATCTACTCTAGGAGACCTAAATTTAAAGTCAAACAAATTTTTGATACTAACCAAAAGAGACTCGTTAAATCAAATCATTATTTCAGTGTTTGTACAAAGCAAAATAATATGCTATTAAAAGTGCTTGTGGAAGACAATCCTTATTTATCAAGTTGTAAGTATCAGGGCATATTCAGATTACTTAGCATCAGTTGTGATAAAGCTATATTACCTATTGCTTGAGTTAAGAATTAGATTCAATTATTCACAGAATTAGATAAAATTTAGCTAACTTATTAACTAATTTTCCAGTTTATAACATCTATTTTACTATGAATCTTTGTTGTATGAATAAATAACAGGCAGAAATTGTTTATTAGCATTAAAATTATTATTGTCCAGCACTCATACTGACTTAGCAAGGCAAATTTGGAAAAGCTTGAAAAAAACGACCGTGAAAAATCGTTAATTAACAACTATCCATTCAGAAATTTATTATTGATGTAGGCGAATTCTAATATTGGCACTCAATTAGAATAGAATTTTGTAAAATATCATAATCTTCTGCTTCTTATAAGAAGATATTACTATTATTGTCATATAAGTACAATGAAACTGATTGCAAGGCTTTCAAGCAAATAGTTAGTTTATAAATTACAAGTTCATAATTAATTCACAGTTAATATTTGTCTTGCATCGTTTGCATAACGAAATAAAATATTAACAGCAAAAGTTAGATTTTGGTTTAAAATAAATTAAAAAAAAAANAGCAAAAATTTTCAAAATATTCGTTTTATTGCATAAAAATTTAATTATTCAGTTTGTTTCGAAAGTAAATATGACCAAGATCATAGCAATGATATTTGAGATTTATTTAATTTATAAATAATAATTTGTTGAGTAGTGTTTGATTTTATTTGATTCATAAAGATCCTTTAGAAATTAAGTGTTTTAGTAGAGTAATATTAAAAAAGATGAGTTTTATTTAGCTTTTTGGACAGCAGTAATTCCTGCCAGTTAAATATGATTTGGCTTATAACTAACTCACTCTCAAAGACCAAGATTTTACAGTGATTTCTATCTTAGTCAAGCGGTTTGAAAGTAGCAATTCCTTTTCCAGCAGCAAAAATCCTATTAAAGCCATTTCTTCATAAAGGTCGATTGCCAATTTACTATATGCCGGAACTTAGATTATTTTTATAATTATAATAGTAAGGGATATTTTGTCTTGAACCTTAAAACTCAGATGAAGGTCAATCAAATTTCGGAAAGCAAAATTGAATGGAATTTGTAAATCTAATTTGGATAAACAATCGAGTACAATTAGAATAGAAATATAAGGATCATAATGATTAATTGGGGTAAATCTATTTATTGGGCAGTTACAATCTACTCTAGGAGACCTAAATTTAAAGTCAAACAAATTTTTCATACTAACCAAAAGAGACTAGTCACTTTAAATCAAATCATTATTTCAGTGTTTGTACAAAGCAAGATAATATGCACTTAAAAGTGCTTGTGGAAGATAATCCTTATTTATCAAATTGTAAGTATCAAGGGCATTTTCAGAAAACTTAGCAATAGTTGTGATAAAGCTATATTACCTATTGCTTGAGTTAAGAATTAAATTCAATCATTCACAGAATTAGATAAAATTAGCTAACTTATTAACTAATTTTCCAGTTTATAACATCTATTTTACTATGAATCTTTATTGTATGAATAAATAACAGACAGAAATTGTTTATTAACATTAAAATTATTATTGTCCAGCACTCATTCTGACTTAGCAAAACAAATTTTGGAAAAGCTTGAAAAAAACGACCCTGAAAAATCATTAAGTAACAACTATCCATCCAGAAATTTATTATTGATGTAGGCGAATTCTAATATCGGCACTCAAATAGAAGATAATTTTGTAAAATAATTGTAATCTTCTGCTTCTTATAAAAGGATATTACTATTATTGTCATATAAGTACAATGAAACTGATTGCTAGGCTTTCAAGCAAATAGTTAGTTTATAAATTACGAGTTCATAGTTAATTCACAGTTAATATTTGAAGCCAAATTTATATGAAATTACAATATCAAATTGAAGAAATAATTCAGAATCAATAAATTGTCTTGCATTGCTTGCATAATGAAATAAAATATTAACAGAAAAAGTTATTTTTTGGTTTAAATTAAATTAAAAAAAAAAATGATCCTTATGATGGATCCTCATTTTCAAATCTTAAATTTGTGAATAATTTATAGGTTTACTATGTTAATTTTCAATATAATTGGGTACTCGATTTTGGACAGAAAGGTTTCATAGAAAATTGTATTATTTTTTATAAACACAACCAAGTACTGTTAATCAACTAAATTTGCGAAGTAGTGAGGGCAATCGATGAGCATAAATATTTCCCGTTTCTCTTAAATGGTAAAAGTAGTAAATTATAAGTCATTAAACTGCTTATTAAGCAAAGTATGTAAAAGGTATTCCTATATACATAATCATGCCTTAAAAAATTGTAAAGAATATAATAGATTTTATTTGAAAGATATTAAATTAATAATCACAATTGATCAGGCTGATTATCAGCATGTAATGTACAAGAATTTGAATGAACAAAACACAGCCAAAAAACAATCACCTTTAATTATGCTTGCAGATTGTTGATTTTGTGACTCCGCCTTTTCCTAGTTATACTAAATTATAAAATCTTTTAAAATAGAAAAATGCTGCGTCTAATAATCTTATTCTTGGTGCATTTTTGAGTGAGCAAAATCAAAATCAAAAAAGGAGTCAAACCTATCTCAATCTAAATTGAAATAGATGTTATAAAATATTTCAAAGGTTCTAAAGGTTCTCTCTGTGGTATAAGATTGTATTTATTGGAAACGGTAAAGTAATTGGATTATTTGAAATTTTACTGGCATCCTTAATCAATAGTTTGACTGAAAAATATATTTCAAAAAACTGTTAAGAACTTTCTATTTATTGAACATAATAGTATGTAAAGAATTCCCAAAATTATCCCTATATATTGTAGCATACTGAGAAAGTAGCATTCAATGATTGTCAATTATCGATTAATGTCAACCCAATTTATATAATTATAACTGAAATTCTTATTTAAATATAATTAATAGGGATATGGAGAAAGGAAAGGATATTACAACTTTTTTGAATTGATAAACTCAAAAATTGAAATGATCTAAACAAACAAATATATTAAATCTGTCTAGGATGGAAAAGCTTAGAGATCTAACTCAAATGGTTTATATGAATTACATAGAAAATTTAAGTCTGCTCTAAAGATACTTGTTTATCACCTTTTTAAGAAAACTCCCCTTATTAATAAACACTAAAATAGTAGTTGAATATATTTCATAACTATTCGAAAACAAAAAATCTAACTACAATATTAAGATCTATTGTAGTCTTTGAATAATTTCAAAAAATGATCAAACCATAGCAATTAGAATTTAAATCTAAGCTTTCTGGAACAAAATCTAAAAAGAAAAACTAGCCAAAAGAACTATCAAAGCGATTGGAATTGTGCTGAAGAAATTTATTTATTTAAATATATTTTGGTACTAAAGGTATCTAATTCATTTTGGAAAAACTTCATTAATAGTATGATTCACAATATTGAAATATATCATTAATAACACTTCATCTAGTCTTATCGGTTGAACTAGAAAATTCTGGTAAAAGTACTTTTAATACGTGATGTCCTTTCAATTTTATTACATAGTAAAATAAAAATAAAATTCTAGGGTAAACAAACAAAATCATTAAATTTATAATATTAAGATGTGGAGAAATCAGCATTATAGTAAAATTTAGGAAGCCTGAAACACTATTATTTATTTTGAACATTTTATCTCATATTTATACTTTTATTTGGTATATTGCAGTTGCTTAGGTATTCTTCCCTTGAACTAAATTTAAATTGCTAATCTCAAGAAATAGGACATAACTAATGGTAAGGAAAATTTAAAAACTTTATTGTATATTAAAGTTAATTCTATCAAATCTTCTAATAAAATCAAAGTAATTTAATATCTGTTTTTTACTAAAAATAAAATAAATAATTCTTTTAATATATAAATATCAAAATAATTTTTCCTATTAAATAGGAGGTTTTAGAACATCAAATTTTATTCTAGTGTATTTAAGATTTATGATACATAGAAGTTAAGAATAATATTTATTGAATATGATTCACAAATAAGATCTATAGTTTATTTTTTTATATTATATTTTTTATTCTCTCATTTATTTTATTCTGTTATAGCTTCTTTAATTAGATCAAGTTTCAAATCTGTTAGAGCCAAGAATTCAAAATCTTTTCCATTCATTCCTGTGCACATCAATGTGTAAAATAAGCAAGGCCTTTAATAAATCTCATAATACTCAAAAATTTTTTTCTCATCAGACTCCGGAGACTCCAATTACTAATTTTACTTCTCTAACTTCTCTTAAACCTTCTTAATCATTTACCTTTACTTCTCAAGAAGTTTCTTTTGTTTTTGCCAATCCTTATACTACTTGCATCTCCTGCTAGATATGGGTCTATTTATTTTTACAATTTTTAGTTAGTTCCTTTTTCTTGATTTGATTGTTATGCAATATTTTACATATAAATATTAATAAAGTTTAAGATTAGATTTCTAGAATTTAAAGCATAACTATTCTATTTATGGTTCTTTACTTTTTCAGCCCTAAATCTATGAAATATTTTCACCTTAAATACTAATATTTCAAAGCTAAAGAGCAAAAGTTGGGAAAGAAAATAGAAAATTTTTGGTGGATATCTACGACTAACAAATCTTATTCATGATGGACTCAAACAATTACGTTAAATTCCCATGAATAATTTAACATTCTTTGATATCTAAATTAAATGTTTAAGATGGCAAAGAATATTGAGGAATTTGAGAAAGGTTTATCTCATTATTTATTTACATAAATTATGCTTATTTATAATTAATCTTTTATTATAGTTGTGGTATATACTTAATTAAATGAAGTAATAGTATTTGTTTAATTTGTTAAGTAATTGCACATTGGATAGAGATATCCAATACTTTGTCTAAATTTTGGCTTATAAAGTTCCAGATCTTAATTCTGCCTGTAATTTTGATTCTATGAAATATGCTAATTGTAAGAAAGATTTAAAAGGATTCCTAAATAGTTACAAGTTTATGATATTCTTTGAAAAATCAAAAGGAAATATGAAGAATGGAAATTAGATGATGATAGAGGGAAGACTCCAGGGAATCTTGCCCATTCCAAAGTTATGATAACAAGCAATCCGTGCAAAAGTATTTAAGGAGAAAAGTAGAACTATGGAAATTTTTTGTATATCCATAAGTGATTTATTTTCAATTTACAAATAAAATATGATTTGCTCTCCTTAGGTTCTCTATTCAATTAGATAAGTAATATCATATTAGGTATTTAAAATTAATATAATCGGCTGCTTCCAGAAATCAACCAGAATATCAGAGTTTCTATTTGATTAGTTCATAGATCATTATCATCAAGTATACTCATTATGCTTAAATGAACAGTAAAATAATTGATTTTGTTCACACTATTAACAAATATTGGTAATAGATAGAAAGGTTGAATAATAAATGGAATGATAACTAAAGATAGGGTAGATTAATTTGGAATAAGATTATACTTTATTAATGATTATTATTTTATATTCTCAACTTTTTGTCAAGAATAAGTCATATATCATATTTATGGCAAGAATTCGAAATTCTATAGAAAGACGAAAGAAAATCGCGTGAAATGTCGTTCAAATGAAGATAGTTGTTTTTTCAATAATAATATTCATACCTCCTGATGAGTAAGAATGGCAACAATATTAACTACAGAAGAAGAAAGGAAAATTGTGACTTTATTATATAGTTACCTATTGAATTAGTGCTTATAGTATTTTTGGTTAATTGAGTGAAAACATGAGATTGATTTTTTAATACTAGGATGTATAAAAATTTTCCTTTCAAAATTTAATTTTTTACAGCTAAGAAAATCCTTATATTGCTGAACTGCTTAGTTGCCTCATAATCTGATTTTTATAAGATTGATGTAAAAAATTACAATAAATCTATTTATTATCACTTACTATATAATTGAATTTTATGAAATTAATAGCCAATTAAAATAACCTATTCTGATGATTATTTCATCATTTATTTCTTGTGACTATTACAAATATCAATCAGTATTCTACATGTCCTTTTTTGTTGATCATACTGTCGTGCTAAATAAAAGGTATAGTTCCTTTTTTAGACCTCTCAATTCACTTATTAGCTGTCTTATCAATTAAAGCAGTTCATATCCTCCAATATTCTAAGCATTAAGATGGCAAAGAATATATTTAGTATTATTTTGAAATTTCAACCTATAGTTCTTCTTCAAATACTACAATTCGTTTCTTCGTTTAGCAATAAATATGAGTAAGATTAAAATTAATACTTAAACTACATAAAAGTCTTTTACAATTTAATCGAATTTAAAAAGATTTTAATATTGTTATAAAGTTTAAAGATAAAAGAGTTAATGAATAGGAATCATTATTATTATGAAAATTAGGCAATTATTGGATCAATTCAAAAACCTTGCATCATTTCAAATTATAAATGTATCTTACTGTAATATTTCAAACAATTATATTATCTCAAATTTACAAATTTAATTTTGTAAACCAAATGGTATTATTTTGTAATTGATATGCTTTTTCAAAGCAAAACTGATAGTAATTATACTATACAATCATTAAGATATAAATTTAAATATCATGATTTATATCATTGAAGCACAAATCTTAAAAAGGTATATTCATAATATTTTTCTATTCTTTCAAATTTTACTTTTATTTTCTTAAGAGCTGTGTTTTTGCCCATCAGACATAACCATGTAAGTCTATAATTAAATTAAATTAATACTTAACATTAATGAAACCAGTCCAATATACGTCAATCAAAATAACAGATATGTGCCGTAACTAAGCTCAAAAGTATAAATCAAGAATGATCCTGTGATTAACAAAAACAGGAATTCTCAATATTTTAGCTTACTTTCTTCGTATGGTTTTTTTAAGGGTTTACACTTACAAGTTTCAGGAAGCAAACTCCATAGGATTGTTGTAATGAGAACCATTACGTAATTTTTTGTCACTAGATATTAATGAAAAGCCAAACTTCACTATTAGTATGCAATCTCTTGTAACCAGTAATAGCAACAACAAATGCATTTTTGTGATACAGAATAATAATTATAGCTGAGCAATTTGCATCATAAATATGAATGTCACATAGGGCATTCTTAAATGCATAATATAAAATGCACACATTAATAATTAGGGTATGCGCTCGAAGATGTACACTTTTAGAATAGGAATATGTATTTAGTATCAAATTGATGTCCTATAGTTAGCACAAGAATAAAACTAGTGGTAGCTTCCAGTATCTCATTAAAACGCATACTATTAATAATAAAGTGGACCCCAAATTGTTTCATTCTCGAAAAGTTAACTTTATAAAGGATTTGATAGATAGGAGCCTAAAAAAAGTTATGGTATCAAAATTGTCCCAGAAATAACTTGGGAAGGTGATAATTGACCACGATTTTTACATAATAAAAAGGTTGGATGATAAGTTTATAAATAGTCACTTCAATTCATGAGTTCATAATATAAAACTGTTGCATTTTCAATCCTTCCTTCAACAGAATTGCAGATCTACAGCAAGAATTCCTAACAACTGTACATTCATTTATAAACGTGTAATAAGAAGTACAGGCATTAATGTAAACATCAATAAAAGTACCATACAAAAGAATCATTACATTTTGTGCCTTATTGTTGCTTGGTTTTGCATATAATTTCCAAGTATTCACTGTATAGAAGCACTATTCAAATTCCAATAAATCCTTTCTATAAAAGGTTTAGTTGCAGGTAAATTCT